TGAAGAGGCTCGTTCAGCCTCTATTCTGCGCTCTAAATCGGGTACTTCACTGGCTCCGGGAAGCTGCCCAAGTGGCATGGATAATGCTCTCTGCAGCCCCCACACAGCCAGCACTGCTCATTTACAAATTCCTCCCATCACCCAGATTTGGTTCACCATTCAACGAAGCTCAGAGCAGCCTCTGCCAAGGGTGAGCTTGTGTTACCACCCTTGCTTGTCACTCTTACAATCTCAGATACACCTTCAATAACCAGTGTCCTTGACTTGCAAGTTTCCACATCCCTGTCAGACTAACAGGATATGTGTGACTCATGTGGACAGGTACTCCTGCAAGCCCGTTCCATGTACTGACTCCTCCAGGTTTTACAGCACATCTGTTTTTAAAGAAATGGGGGGGGGGCTGTTATTTTCGAGGTCATGTGGACAGAATGAAAACCCAGAGAGGCTACGGCATATGGAGCAGACACGACATTCCAGCTGTTTCCATTCATGTCAATTCCACTCAGTCACCTCACCTGACAACATTATATAAGGCCAATTCTTCTTGCCTAGTTCATGGTTGGGCCCTAGGGTGAGGGGAGGAGGCAGAGGTGGTTCCTATCAGCTGCAGTCATGACTGACAGCCTGTCAAGGAGGTCCTACATTGACACTTGGGACCTTTTGGCACATATATCAGTCTGCGTAGGTAGTGAAACTGACCAAATAACTTCAATAACAGACATTTTCATCTCACAGTCTGGAGTATAGAAGCCTGAGATGGAGGTGCCATCAGCTTACTGAAAGCCACTGCCACTTTGTGCTTGCATGGACTTTGCCCTGTATGCAGAAACATTGAGACCCCTGGCAGACATTAGTCTTAGCAAATTTGGTCCCTACCCCTCTGAGCCCCATTTCCTTTGAGATGTCTTTTTGTACATGTAATGCCTAAGCACAGTCACATTGGGGTTGGCCATGTCTTCTGAATGGAAATGTGACCCATCTCTCAAAATTCATGTGAATCCCTAAATTCTGGTGTCACTTTTGCAACCTTTTTATTGGTTATAACCAAAAGAAACATCACATGGCAAGCTGCCATGTCTTGGAGATAGACAGCATCGGGATCATGTGCAGGCCTGGCACTTCTGAAGAAGACACAATTTCAGGAGCTTTGAAATGTATGTGAAAAATAATCATATGTACAGATGAGGTAGGTGGGCATCATAGGCAGAGCATCATTTGTGAGTACCCCACCAACAGTAAGGAAACACAAGATGCAATTTGCAATGAGGCCATCAGGAGAGAGGGATGAATGGGAAGAAGGGGTTAAGGAATAGGGAGTCATATGGGATCCTTGAGAGATGAGACAAGAACTTGACCCTTGATCCTTGAGCATTAAAAGGCCACAGGGGGATTCAAAGTAGCTGGAGAAACCCCTTGCCTGTAGCATCACCCCAGACAAGACACTGCTGGATGAGGCACAGCTCCCAAGAATCTCCTTTGGGGAGATGCCTTTACAAGTGGTACCAACGTATCTTATGCTGAAACGTTTACTTTCATACAGAATCAATCCAAAAAGATAAGTTGGCTATTTACATTCTCACCCACCTCTGCTTCCACCCTCCAAGCTCACAGTATTGTCCTTATCTCCCTTCCTTGCTGGGAAAGACTTCCCAGCTACCCCAAGGAGGCTTCAAAGGCCGTTTAAGCCTCCCTCCTCACCCCACCCCAAACATCTCAGTTTCTTTTTCCTTCTGTTCTTGTTGATCATTTAATTGAGCATGGCATTTTGGGCACCAAGCAGAGGATGACTATTGCGGCAAACCTTTGAGAGAAAGCTCAGTGTGCTGAGGAATGTCATAGAAATGAGAGATAGTCATGAAAAGTCAGACATCTGGGCAAAGTTTAAAAGAAATGGGCATGCCCAGCCTTGAGCTAATATCATTGTGAGCAGCCCTGGGTGACAGTTCCCTAATACATTAAGAATGCATGCAGGAGAGTAGGATCCATTTTCCATTCATCAGTGACAGCAGAGGGAACAGAAGCATCTTAGATTTCAGCCGAGGAAACACCCGTCACATGTCTGAGCTGCAGGGGAAGAAGAGCTGCCAAGAGGGCCACTTTGAATCACTCACTATGCAACACAGCCACTGGAAATGCTCTGGAAGTTCAGTGGGCAACATGGCAGTATACACAAGGTGTGCTCCCATCTAGGCTCTGTGAAGCACCCCTTATGGCCTAGATACTACAGTTGGGATCTTGAATGCTGCCCTCCAAACTTACATGTTGACAGTTTGGTATCTAGCCAAATGGGAAACTGTGGAGCCTTTAGAATCTGGGGTCTGACAGAAGGAAGTAGGATCACTAGGGTTGTGGCCTTGAAGAATGTACCATGAGCTCAACCCTAGTAATGGTTAATCTTGATTGCCAACATGATGAGATTTAGAAACACCATGCAGACGACTCTCTGTGCATGTCTGTAGGGATTATCTAGATTAACAGAGGTGTGAACCTATTCTAAATATTAATAATATTCCATGGATTAGAGTCCTGGGATAAATAAAAAAGAGAATGAGCATAAGCCTTTCTTACTCTCTGCTTCTTGACTGCAGACACAATGTGGCCTACTATCTCAAGTTCCTGCCACCATGACATTCCCATGCTAGACCATGTATGCATGAAGTGTAGAGCCAAAAGAAACCCTTCCTTCATCTAATTTGCTTCTTATCAGCTCTTTTGCCACAGTAAGAAACAAGTAACTGGTATAGACCCTTTGGGTCTCTCTTTGCTTCCCAGATGCTTTGACATGAGGAGCATTCACTCAAACCACAATGCCCTAAAGCAGTGGGATGTTTGACCATGGATTGAAACTCCATAGCCTTTTTCTTTTTAAAAATTAATTGTCTCAGAACCCAACATACAGTAACATGAAGTTGACTAGCAAACTGGGTAATCCCACTGGCTGAAGAAGTCTAGTTGGGCATACCAATGGAAGATTCTATCTAGCTCTGTTGTTTATTCTAGGAACTCTAGACATTTCAGATTGCCCTATAAGAGATCATGTTTTCTAGGCATGAGTAAGATCATTTATTCCTTTGCCAAAGCCAACTTCTGCCTTGCAGTAACAACAATAGCAGCACACTATCAATAGCTCTGAATTACAGAATTGCTATTCTATGCCATGAGCTTGGCACACTTGGTCCTTCACTCGTATCTCACCATCATCATTAGTCCTGTTTTATTAATGAGAAAATTGAGGCAGAGGGGACTAAAGGCTTCCCTACAGCCCCACTTTGGAACACATATGAGATAAGAGTAGAGTTCAGGTCCCCTCAGTATGGGGCCCACACTCACCATCATATATCTACACTGAAAAGAACTTCCAGCAGTGAGGATGTCTTCATGCCATCTCCCACATGGATTTGTCTAGTGTACATATTTGTACACTGTATGATGACATACTGCTGCGATTAGTTTAATAAAGAGTTAAGTGGCCAATAGCTAGGCAGAAGAGATAGGTGTGATCTCCTGGGAGAGAGAGTTAAAGGAGGAGGAGTCTAGGTGACCAGATTATACCAGAGAGAGGCCAGAAAGACTCGGAAGGAAGAGTTGAACACACAGAATGGGACAGAGGTAAAAGCCACGTGGTAGAATGTAGATTAATAAAAATATGGGTTAATTTAAATTATAAGAGCTAGTTGAAAATAAGTCTAAGCTAAAATTCCAAGCTTTCATAATTAATATAATAAGTCTCATGTCATTATTTGTGAGCTGGTGGCCCCCCAAAAAAATCTGACTACAGTGCAGGATTTCCCAGAGGCCTGTGATGCCATTAGCCAACCAGCATATAATTATGCATTCAGGAGTCCTGCCAGAAGATCACTGAGAAGTGATTGTTGAAAGACTTCCAGAATAGGAGCCATAGTGTTCAGACACTCCCCTAATACCCCAGACAACCCTGAATCAGCTTTCCATTCCTGCTCATCCATTTTCCTCAATACCTGAATGCTGCCCAGCCAGTGCTTCATCACAAGATTTTCCTGGGATCTCCCTATCAGATGGTGCTGATAAGACACTGGTAACAGGAGACTTCAGAACAGCCACCTAGTCTCAGGTAAGAGCCACCACAGAACAAGCATGTGCACAGGATATCAGGTCACAGCCTCAGTTCTGAGCACTTGGATTCACAGAGTGACAGCTGCATCTACCCATAAAGGGAGCACAATTCAGAGAAGCTGGGGCCAGGGCAGGGAGACAGGGAACATGCAGACCCTGCAGAAGTGAGTGAGAAAAAGTTTTATGTTGTTCAGTCATGCACAGGCCAAAGTCAGGACTGGAATCAGGCAAATGAAAATTTCTTCCTTCTTGATGGAAAACTGGATTTAAACCACAAATGCATACTACTGGGGAGTCTGCATTTTTTCTTCCAGCTTCACCACACTCAGTGGAGCTTCAGGTAGAATTTTCCCTCATGCAGAGACTAAAACCCAGAGAACAAAACAGTATGAAGCCACAGGGAAAGGAGATAGACACTTCTAGAGCTTTCCACTCTCTAGGCTCCACCCAAAACAATGCATGGGAGGGATGGGGACAGGGAACACAGATGGCTTTTAAAAATCTAGCCTTGTGGACTCTAACCTGTAATGGTGAATGTCACACCCAAATAGCATGTGCAGAATAATGAGCATCAATGAACTAAGCAAAGAAATGACTACCTTCCCATGTGCAGTAATGCTTAATTGCTTTTTAGCAGAAACACTTACTTTAAATAAGACAGTCTCTCTGGTCATCTTTTGTGATTCTGCTACTTCTCCAACTATGCCTAGCAACACACATCAGATAGATGGAATATAGTTCAGAGGATGCAGAAAAATGCTCTGTATTCAGGGTCAATCTGCCCCCCTCAGCATATGATGGATATCTCTGGCCCCATGTAACTGTGGCTTGAGGATCTAAGCATCTGATGCTGTTACTCATCCTGGAAACAACAAGTAGTAAAGTTCATAAGAATCAAAGCCTACTACCTTCATGGTGCCCATGGCTTTGAAAGCCACTGCTAATCTTGAAAGGGTCAGTGTTGCCAGCATCGCATTGAATCTTGCACTCTTGCTTTGAATAGGTGAATGGTACTGTCCATCTGGAGCCACAGAACCAAACCTGTGAGGATGTAGAAGAGCAGGATGGAAACAAAATGTGAAGTTTAAGACAGAAGAAAGTATGGCACTACTAGAAATGAAATTGTGTGGCTCCCATGTAAACACAGAAATAGGAATCCTGGAAGTTTCTCAATGGAAATGCTGAGAAGGTCCTGACTTGTGGAGGATAATGGCAGGTTTTCTACCACTGCCAGCCCACAGTGCGGTAGCAGCTCCCGGAAAGGAAGACCACCACCATCAGACCAAAACCTGTGCCTGAATGTGCAAACACACACTGGCTTGCCTTTTTAAAACAATGTAGTGTATTTAACATCCCATAAAATTCACCTGTTTACAGCATTTGGATTTGGTGGGTTTTAGGATATTCACAAAATTCTACAACCATTATTACTCTTCAATTCCAAAATCATCCAATGACTCCATTTGCTGTCACGTTATATTCTCCACCCTCCAGTCCTTAGCAACCAACTTTGTCTTTATGGATCAGCCTACTCTTTGCGCCAATGGGAACAAAATGTATAATGTGATTTTGTGTCTGGCTTCTTTCACTTGGCACAAGGTTTGCAAGTTTCAACTATGCTCTAGATTATATCAGTACTTCTTATTCTTTTATGAGTGAATATTGCACTCAATCGTTGTTAGCATTTATCAGCTAACAGATGTTAGAGTCATTTCCACTTTGGGGATATTATAAATAATTATGCTATAAACATTGGTGCTCAAGTTTATTTGGGACAAATTGATACTTACATGTCAATGAGCATATGCACTATATATATATATATATATACATACATATATATGATACACATATGTTCATGTATGCACAAACACATGTATACAGATATACAAATGCACCTGGAAATAGAACTGTTATATCATCTAACTTCAAACATTTTTTTAAAAAAGATTTGTGCATTATTTGTGTGTGTGTGTGTGTGTGTGTGTGTGTGTGTGTGTGTGTGCGTGCATGTGTGTGAGCATGAGTTTAATGCACACCACTTGAGTACAGGAGCTCACTGAGGCCAGAAGATGAGATGAGATGAGATGCAATTATCATCTGATTGACATTAGATCCTCTGGAGTTAGACAGCCATTATGTGGGTGCTGGGAACTAAATCTGGTTCCTATACAAGAGTAACAAACACTCTCAACTGCCAAGCCATCTCTCCAGTCTAAACTTAAAACTTTTGAGGAATTCTAAGTGAGTTTCCAAATCTATGAAGGCATACTAGAACACTGTCAGGGATGTGTGATGGTTCTAATGTCTCCTCATCTTCAACTGCACTTGGTATTCTCTGCATGTTTTACAAAAGTCATCCCAAGGGTTACAGAATGGATATTTCAACTGTGATTTGACAGCTGTCTCTCAATGACAGTGGTGCTGGTGATTTTTCTTTCATGTTCTATTAGAGAGTTGAATATCTTCTTTGGGAAAATGTCTATTCATATTCTGTTTATTTTTTAATGGTTGTCTGTCTTGATCAACTGGGATAGTTTTTCCATTCTAAATGCTAGGCCCTTAGGATGCATTTGATTTACCAGCCTTTCTTAACTCGAAAGACTATTTTCACTAAATTTTAAATTTTTCTTATAAACATCAATTGCCCTACTTTTTCTTTGGTGTCATGTTTAATAACTCAGTGATGAGACCAAGGCCACTAACTGTACACCCCAGGTCTCTTCTAAGAACTGCGTGCATGTATGTTGGGTAGTGTGTGTTGCAGGGATTCTTTCAGCCAATAACAGTCTTTGAGGTACCAGCCCCTTCAGGGCGGGGCTCAGAAGCTATGTATGGGCTGGCAGCAAGCCCTGCTCTCTTGGGTGGTGGTCACAGATCAGGACACAGCTTCCTGAACCTTCAGGAGCAGAAGACCACAATGGCAGTTTTATCTTTGTGTGAGTGATTCCCCTATTAATACCTGACTTCCCTTTATTCAAGGGCTCCCTTGCTACATCTTCAGTGTGAGTTCAGCCTAACCTTTTTTAATATAGACAGCAACATGTCCTGGAACCATATGTTGAAAAGACTATTATTTCCTCTTTGTCTTGGTGCTCCAGAAGTCTAGTAATTATCAATAAACATGAAGACTTGTTTGTAGACTATTCTATTCCATTGTCCATATAACTATTCTTATGCTAATGTCATACAATCTAGATTAGCACAGTTGGTCATAAGCTTTTAGATTCCAACTATGACTCCTCCCACTTTGTTCTTTACAAAGATGAATTTCTTTATTCTAGGTTTCCTATACTTGCATATAAATTTTAGTGTGAGCTTATGAGTTTCTTCAAAAATGTCAGCTGAGATTTTTTTTTAAGAGAGATTGTATTGAATAATTTATTTACTTCTGTTAACTGGCTCCACTTTCTAAACAAGTGATGAACCAAGGCCCCAAAAGACTACCCCTTCAAAACTTTATGTGGCCACTGCTGTTCTGTAGTATGGGGGGCAACTTAAATGGAAATGAAATAATGTTATAAATCAAATCTTGCTCATTCAAGTGATATATTAGCTACAAACAACACAAACCCATTGTTTTTCTGCTTTCTTACTGAATCTGACTTTCTAATCTCTAGCGCATTTGCTGAGCCCTTCCCATTGACCAGTGGTGGTCTAAGGCTAGACCAGCCACTAGGATCTGATTAGAGTAATGGAATATGGGAGCTGCCCATTGTGACTTCCCTATCCTCTTCTATCCTCCAAAGCGGGGGATGCTGACTAGAGCCTAGGAAGTGGACAGGCACCTCTAGGGAAGGCTAATGGGCCCCATACCCACTTTCACAGCACTGGTGGCTGCTGAGATTTCCCAGAATGTGTCTGTAAAGATGTCTTCGTTGTTTCTGCTCTGTTTACCACCAGTTCACATGGGGTGGGAGACAGAGAATTTGGTCCATTCTAAGTTTGTTTCCCACACAATTTTCTTTGACTTTTGTAATTGACTACATTTACTTATTGACAAAAACTTGTAAGTAAAGGAGCAAATCCACTGCAAGGCAAAAAGACAGTTTATTTAAGTAGAGCAGTGGCTCAGAATTTACAGGTCACAGGAAACATGGCTGAGGCACTGAGGTAGCTGGTGTTCCCTAGAATCTGCAAAAAGCATCTTTCACCCTGACTTTCCCCCATGGGTCACATCAGAGAAAGAAACCTCCACCTCACTGTTTGATTCACCTTGACTGCCTTGTGGTTGCCTGGGCATTTTCCTTCCAGGTGATGCTGCTTTTAACACCCCCCCCCTTTTTTTTTTTTATTTCTTCTTTGAGAATTTCATGCATGCATACAGTATATTTTGATTATGATCAAAAGGTGGTATCTTCACCTTTCATATCCACAAGGGAAGCAAGTAGCACACATCAGTTTCTTCATAAATTGTCAAAATAAAAAGAAGTTAAATACCCAACAACAAGGAATTGAATACATAATTCATCGATTATTCAGCATAGTGCTATGGTCCATTTGATATGCAATGTTAGATGGAAATTACAAGTTATTAAAAAAGAACAGAGTCTCTAGATGGATTTTCTATGTTAAAATTCTAATGTAGGTCTCTTGCTTTAGACATTTTGGCATAGAGAAAGTCTGCCATAACAATTATTATATCTGGCCAATGTCATGTTGGACCATTTAGATTTTTCTCTATTTGCTTATCTGCCTTTTCCAATTAGTGTGGAAACACTTGGGGAAAGACCACTTGGTCATGCAGTCTGCAAGACCCCAAAACTAAAGGCCTCATTTGAGGGAACAAGTAGATCATCTATCCAGACCTTAAGGAGAAAACTACTCACCTATCCAGCAGGTTCTCTCTTGGAATCCGAACCTTGTCAAATATCAAAATTCCGTTATCCACACCATTCAGACCTGGGGGAACAAATTTCAAATGCAGATGCAAGAGAAAGCTATGCAACATTCCAAAGATGGTCTCAGCCATTCCTTGGCCTAACAACATAAACATTAAACATTTCCATAACTGCAGGAGCTCTTTTGTTAGAGACATAATAAGGATGCTGTCTCAGACACACCTGGCCTATCCCCAACCCCGACCCTGAAGGAGAACAAATGTGGTTTTCCTTATTTGCAGCCATCACCACCACCTCCCCAACAGTGTGCTAGGGACTCAGGTTCAGGGTCTAATAGGGCATTTTCCTACCCAGCAGCAAATGTTATTAAAAAGAAGGAAAGAGTTCAGGGCCTGGGGAGATATCTCGGTGGTTAGAACAACCTTCTGCTCCTGCAGAAGACCCAGGTTCAGTTCTGAGAACCCACATGGTGGCTCACAACCATCGGCAATTCCAGTTTCAAGGGACCAGTGCTTCCTTCTGACCTCCCTCAGCACCAAGTACACACGAGCACATGTATACAAGTACTGCATGAACATGCAGGCAAAACACTCATATACACAAAATAATAGTTAGAGCCAAATAAGTAAATAAAGTTAAAAGGGGGTGTTCCAGGTAAGAGGACCATGGGGCACTGAAGACACAGTCCCACACACAGCTCATGCTTACTTGCTTTGGAGCTTCCTCCTCAGACACAAAATGAAGTAGTGAAAGTAAATGACAGAAGAGATGGGAAAACCAGAGCAGTCTTTCTGTCGTTGCCTGCTGGGGAAGTCCTACTGTATATATGTTTCTCTTATCGGTTGATGAATAAAACACTGTGGCTAGTGGCCAGGCAGGAAGGAAAGGCAGGGCTACCAGAAAAGAAGAATTCTGGGAAGTGTAGGCAGGGAGGAGTCGTGATGTGAGCCCAGGAAGAGAGGACGCACCAGGTGTTCTCCAGTGACCATGTGGAAATACATAGATTAATAGTAATGGGATGATATTTAAGACAGAGCTAGCCAATAAGAAGCCCTAGCCACCAGCCAACAGTTTTATAAATGATATAGCATCCGTGTGTTCTTTGGGGCTGAAAGGCAGCTGCGAACTGGGTGGGAAACCCAGCAACAGTTGCCAGTGTTTTCTACATGTGGCATGACTTCATAAGCATTGGCCTGTCCCCCTGCTCTCAGCAGCACTTGACACTCCATGTGCTTCCAAGGGCCAGGCCTAGCAGCAGTGATTTCCTATACTAAGGGTAGGATGAGGTTACTCCTCCACTGTCCAATGTGTCTCCCCTACCCCATCCTCTGCTCTGTCTTCCCTCTTTTATCCTTAACTCCTACCACCCTTTCTTTAGCTGGCATCACCTTGGAAACCTGGTCTCACTGGGCGCTATGGGATGAATTGTGTCCTCTCCCTACCCCACCTGTGGATTGAAGCCCTAATCTATATCTATATCTATATAGACCCATATCTATAATGCTACCTTGTTTGGAAACAATAGCATTACAGAGGCAACCAAGTTAAAACAGGGTCATTCAGGTGGGCCCTAATATAAATGATAGAAGTTCATGTAAGAAGGAGAAACCTGGGGACAGATGTGTGCACAGGGAGACTGCGTGCTCATGTAGTCACAAGCTGAGGCAAGAGTCCTGGGTCAGATCCTTCCATTGCCCCCATAAGAGGAGTCAGTGCTGGAAGCTTTCTCATCTTAGGCCTCTGGCCTCCAAAGCTGCGAGGACCCAGCTGTGTTACAAATGTCCTGAGTCGTCTTCAAGGCTCACCAAGGGCTACATGGACACAAACATTATATGAAGGTGAAGAGTCACCAGAGAGCTGCAGCCTGCCCTGCATCTAAGAAGAGAGAAGTTGAAGCACCCATTGATGACACAGCATCTTTGTCACTAAGAAATTTGGAAGCTATTAGTGAATGGTTCCCTGGCACTTTAGTTCACTGCCATGATTTCCTGGAGATGTAAGTGCTTAGATTCTCCTTGGCTGTGGTGGGGGCTGGAGAACCCACAGGAGTCGGGAATCAACACAGGGGGGGGGGGTCACCTGAGGACTCACCTTCTTTGTGCATCATATCAATAGCTGTCACTCCTGGATACAAGTTCCCGTTTTCATCCCTGATAGGAACGATGAAACAGTGGAGCCCTAGGGGAGGCGCAGAGACAGGCCTCTGTTAGGGCTCCCCTTTTCACTGCTGTTGAGACAGAGTCTTGATGTGTAACCCTAGATGGCCTAGAACTCACCTTATAGGCCACGGTGGCCTCTAATTCTAGTTAGTCCCCTTGCCTCTGCCTTCCCAGTGTTAGAATTCCAAGAGTAAGCTACCATACCTGGCCCTAGTCTCATCCTTGTAAAGAATAAACCTTCAAGCTGGGTGTGGTGCTATTTATCTTTAATTCCAATGTTTGGGATGCAGAGGCAGGTGGATCTCTGTAAGTTCAAGGCCAGTCTGGTCTACATAGAGAGTTCTAGGATAGTCAGGGATACCCAATGAAACCACGCCTCAAAGAATAAAAATAAAAGAATAAAACTTCAAGCTGGAGAGATGGCTCAGATATTAAAGGCAAGGCTCACAACCAAAATTATAAGATTAAAACTTCATGTTTTCTCTGGAGCAGTATGACATTATTTTACTCTCCAAATTCATTGAGATCTAGGCACTGCATACAATAGGAACTAATGTCAACAAACTTGACCATCAATTTTATGTAGAAGAAAATTGGCCCTGTGAAGCACATTTTCAGTGTAATGAACTAATGAGAAAACAGCAATAGCAAAGAGAATTCTTTCATGCTGGTAACAAACCTTGAGACCTTCCCTCAATGATGAGCTGAGCGAAGACAGCAGCATAGTTCCCGTGCATGGCATTGCCGATGTACATTTTCTGGGCATCTTCACATGGCGTGTCAATCACAAACTCCTGCACAGAAGAGTAAGCCACAGAGTATTTGCCTCCATGTGGCTCATTTCAACCCCTAGCTCAACACAATGAATACCACAAAACAGATCTGCAGGGTAAGAAAGGCTCAGAGGCTCCTGGAAAGTCACTGTCTCAACTTTGTGCTCGTCTGTCACTCTACGAACGTACTTTATCTCCATTTTTGCTTTGAAGGGGAGTTGAGACTAAAATGGGGGATTTTTTGATGCATAATTCAATCAGAAAACTAAGTGGACAATTTTTATGCTTTCATTCATTCCCCATTTCTGTCTTTGATAGTGCCAGGCCGATGTGTGCTATCCTGTTCGTCCATCAGGTTTCAATGTGTTAGCTATTTCTTCAATTTTCAATTTCTATCATCCAATTACTTCATACTGAGATTTCCACTTTTGAAGAATCCAACACCAAAACCTCTACAAGAGCTAGATGTGATGGCACAGGCCCTAACCCCAGCTATTTTGGAGGCTGATGAACACTAAAGTCAAGGACTGCCTGGACTTCACAGTGAGTTTAAGGGCAGCCTAGGCAACTTAGCACGGCCCTTTCTCAAAAGGATGGTGTTATAGCTCAGTGATTCAATACTTTCTTGTTTCAAGGTAATGGATTTAATCACCATCACACACATACACACATACACACAGAGAGAGAGAGAGAGAGAGAGGCACAGAAGCACACACGGGTACTGGTAGAATACATTAAGTTTTCCCGACCTTCAAACACCTCACCTATGGGATGCCCATGAGAAAAGGGAACAATCCAATGATCCAGGGTCCTGGATGGTTTGTTCCCGACTACACAAATGTATTCCATTTTGTCTTTCCCTTCTGGGTAAATCTCTAACTTCTCAAGTCTTCCGCTATTGCACAGGCCTGGTCATCCTGCAACTATGATAAGAACTTTGTTTAAATGACAACCAACTAACTCAACAAGATGCCAAAATCACAGGCTTGGCTGTGAGCAAAACAGGTACCTGTGAGCTACCCCATCATTGCTTAGCATATCACTCCAAAATAATTTTAATTTTGATTTTTTTTAAAGGAAAAGAAAACACCTTTCAAAGCCTTTGGTTGGTTGTCTCAGAATCTTCTGTGAACATCTTACTAGTCAGTGACTATAATAAAGCCCCCAAGGTCCCAGACTAGAGTCATGTGACCAAGCCCTTGGAACAGAAACACCTATAAAGAAACCTCAGTCTTCCAAGGGGGGTCTTAGAATACCCTAGGCAGTTTGTCTCAGTAACAGCCAAAGATTCCAGCTCCAAACACCCTGAAACTAATCCCCAGCCTGAAGAAATGGGGACAGTGTGCAGGGTTGGTTTCCAGTCTCTGCTCAAGTCCAGGCTTCTCTTTCCTACTGTCTGGAAGTCAATCCATGTGGAAATATTGCCTTTGAGGCTCATCTCACCCAGTCTTGCTCACCACATGGGTTCCCCTTACACCTCTTACCAAGGAGGTACTGACCACACCGCTAGCTCTGAGTACAGGGTACCTATGACAGATCAAGGACCCAGAGGAAATGGAAGAAAGCTGAACTGGCCATTTAATTAGAGCTGACAATGTAGAAGATACGATTCAGCTAAACCAACATGCTCTTGGTCACACAAGGATTATCTCAGATTTCAGATTATAAAGTGTATAGACTGTGCTTTCCCACCGGGCCAAGAAACACAGTCTTGAAGCCTAAGAAAACAATCTTTGACATCAGTTTGTACAGGAAAACCTTTAACATGTGCAGGGGCTTTTCAGAAAAATACATGGACGAGTTGAATCGCTTTAAGAGAAGTCCCTGGAGATTGCCCTTAGCTTATCTGGCTAGCCATGGCCTCTGAAATCTGAAAGCAGGAGTAACTCCAGGCTACATGCAATGGGCAAGAATGACAAAACAACCCGAGAGCATGATGGGGAGGGAGAAAAGAGCCCTGGAAACATGGGGCTGCCTGGGGAGAAGGTGGGAGGCCACCAGTCCTGTACTCATCTAATCCACCCCGGGAAGAGCTTTGTCACTTCTGGCAAGAGGTTTGACGTGGAAAGTTTGTATCAGCCAAAATGCTGGAGTTGAAACTGTAATCTAAACAATGCCCAGCATGTGTGCTGGTTACAATTATGATTACTTGTGGAAGACCAGCAATAGTAAAAGATGCAAACACTAAGAAATGTAAAAGAATAAGATAAAATAAATAGGAACAAAGATAAAATAAATAGAGGGCTGGAGAGGTGGCTCAGGGGTCAAGAGCATGTGCCACTCTTGTCCTTACAAAGGATCTGACTTTGGTTCGCAGCACCCCGTCAGGCAGCTCCAGGAGAGCCCACGTTCCTGGGCTCTGAGGATACCTGCACACACACTGTACATATACTCCCTCCACACGCACATACATAATATAAAATAGAAAGTAAACCTTTTTTTAAGTAAAACGGGGCCAGTGAGACAAATTTAATTCCTGGAACCTATATGGTAGAAAGGAGAGAACAGACTCTGGCAAATTGTTCTCTGACTGCCCAAAGGGTTCTGTGGTACATACATGTGTACACATGTGTGTGCACAAACATACAATACAAATAAATAAGTAGATGGAAAATAATAAAGTTAAAAAGCTTTGGTCATAACCTGATTTATTTTTGCCAGTTAGCATGGAGTATGAAAATAACACTCTTATCTCACAGCAAACCATACCCACTGGCTAAGCTATTCCCATACAAATGAAAACAAAAGAACCCAAAACCCAAAAAAGTAAGTGAAGGAAGGAAGGTTCATTTGATATGCTACACAACTTTCAAAGGGAAATGAAGGAGAAACATGAATCCAAGGGAGAAAGTCACCCCCTGCTGTGTTAGTCCCCTCCCCCTCCCCACTACCCTGCTTCCCTCCTGCAGAAGTGTATGACTGACTGGTCCTCTCTCCCACCCACTAGAGAGACAGTGCTTGCCATCTCCGCATCAGCAACTCCCCTGTCAGAAAGAGGCAGCTGCAGAGGCCTAGCAGGTGACAAAATCACTTACACTGTTTGGGGAAAATGGGACCAATGCAAGAAATTATTTTTTGTCAAAAAAAAAATTGTAAGAAGAAATAATGACTGCAAGGTCATCTCAATATCACAGCTTGGGAAAAGAAAAAAAAAAAAAAAAAAAAAAAAAAAAAAAAAAGGCCAGCCAAAACCCACAAGATATCAGGTCAATAAAGCATCCCTTGGCGGGGAAGCCACACTCTGAAACACAGCTCCAGTTCAGCCTAAGACTCCTCATTAACTATCACTAGAGTCAGGTCCCTCACCTCTGTAAGCCTCAGCCTTTCCATCTGTAAATCAGCAACAACAATGTTCCGTTGGCTGGTTATCTCAGTGCTTAGCTTAGTGCCCACTACCACTTGAATCCTCAACTAGCAGAAACTGCTTACCCAAAATAAAGGGAGTGTCGATGCTAAAGAATACATAACACAGAGAGAAGACACTGGAACAGCATGGCAGGGCACAACCCTTGTGATGAAGGATAATGTGATGTGGGATATCATTGACTGCTGTAGAGAATGAACATCGGGGCAGAGGAAACCCTGCATATGACATTCTAAACACTGGCCACTCATCCAATGAGGATTCTATACCCCCCAAAGAAAGAAACAAACAAACAAACAAAACTTGCTTTAAAGATGTCCCGATTCAGAAGATAAACTCGAGGAAATGGAAGACTAGAACTGGACACACAGACACTAGTACTAGTGTGATGTCTCCTCCCCACCCTACTCACAAACATGGGTACACACATAAGAATTCAGTTACACCTCATAGTCCTTAGGAATATCCAGTAGCAAATAAGATACTGTGTGTCTTTCTATATCCGGCTGTGGGGGCAGGGTGAGTCCAGCAGTGGAGAGCCACCAAGGAGAGCTTCCACACTGCTTTGGTTGTAGTCCATCATGGAGAAAGACACCAAATTAGAAGGTCTTGGCCAACATCTTTATTTAATAAGAATGGAAAAGAGGGCCAGTGAGATAGCTCAGTGGGTAGAAGCACTTGCCACCAAACCTGAGGACCTAAATTCAATCCCTAGAACCCATATGGTGAAAGGAGAGAACTGAATCCAACAAGTTGTCCTCTGACCTCTGTGTGTGCAACACACACACACACACACACACATGCACACGCACAGGCACGCGCATTCGCACGCGCGCGCGCGCGCACACACACACACACATAAATAAATAAATATTTTAAAGGGAAGGGAAAGGAAGAATAGCAAAGAAAAGAGAAGCAAAAGGCCCAAATGAAAAGGGAAAGATCAGAGTCATCACATGACGGAGAAAAAATGATGCTGAGGTGCCTTCAGGTTGTCAAGTAAAATCCATGTGAGTTGTGGTTAAGAACAACACATAGGGGCTAGGAAATGACTCAGTGGGGAAGAACACTTGCTGCTTGAGGATGAGGACCTAAGTTTAAATCCCCAGGACTCAGGTAAAAAGCCAGGTGTGGTTCTACTTCTCTGTCACCCCATCCTGTGCTGGGCAGAAACAGGAGTATCGCTGGGGCAGGCTGGCTGCTAGTCTGTCTCCATCCAGATTCAGTGGGAGACTCTGTCTCATGGGAATAAGGAAGAGAGTGGTACAGCAGGAAGCTCTATGTCTTCTTCTGGCCTCTATATGCATTGCATGGGAGCACATGTGTACACATACACCATGCACACAGTATCTTAGTTAGGGTTTTTATTGTTGTGAAGGACACCATGACCATGAAGTTTAATCAGAAGTTTAATCCATTATCATTATGGTGGGACATGGTGGCATGCAGGCAGACATGATGCTGGAGAAGGAGCTGAGAATTCTACATCATGATCCAAAGGCAACAGGAAGTGAACTGAGACACTGGACATAGCTTGAGCATAGGAGACCTCAAAGTCTGACCCCGCAGTGACATATTCCTCCAACAAGGTCATATCCACTCCAACAAAGCCATACCTCCTAATAGTGCCACTCTCCATGAGCTATTGAGAGCCAGTTACAGTCAAACTAACACACACACACACACACACACACACACACACACAAAACACTGCCTAATAGAATTAATTGGCCCTTTATCTGAGTGAATCCCACATCACTGGATTCAACCAACTATGTATTGAGATACATTCTTATCATTCCCTAAATGATACAGACACATAGCATCACATTATATTAGGCATTAGGAGTCATCAAAAATGATGTAAAGTATATGGGAAGATGTGGCAGGTCCTACACAAATACTATGCTGTGTATATAAGGAAATTGAACATCTGTGTATTTAGAATTATCAGAGATTCCTAGAAGCTATAATACCCCATGAATATTGAGGGACAACTGCGACGGCATAGAGGACTTATCTCCTGATCAGGAAACCTCAGTTCTGGGTGTGCTGCCATGTGCAACAGACAGCAACAGCAAAGGCATCTCCTCCTTTCTTCATATACTACTGTTGGAAAGAACAACAGTGTGGCTATTGTTGTTCCCATGGAAACATTTTAGGGAATAACTAAAGAATTCATGTACTGAACTGTAAGTGTAGGCTGGTATTGCTCACATAGGCTGAGCTCATGTCCTTCTCTAAAACAACCAGCTGCTGTTCTGAGCCTAAGCTTCTCAACCAGCTCAAGGTATGAAGTCCAGCAGCACATGCAGAGGGTGTGAAGCCTGACAGCACATGCAGGGGTGTGAAGCCCAGCAGCACATACTCAGGAAGATGGAGTGGTCTGTACAGGCCTCCTATTGCAGTGAACTATGAAACAGGAAACAGACTCTTCACCTGATTGTCAAGGTCAAAGGTGGCCTCAGTCTGGATGCCTCTCACGTTGCTCCCGTGGCCCTTCTCAGTCATTGCAAACATCCCGGTATACTTCTGCTCCTGAAGTTCAGGAGATATTAAAAGAGAGGTAGATGGTCAGGTGATCTCTAGCTGAAGACCTGAGACAATTAACAATATTAGCGAGAAAAGGAGCAGAAAGCTGGGAAAGTTGGCTTAGTGGTTTAGAGCACATCTTGCTTTTGCAGGGGACCTAGGTTCAGTAGCCAGCACTCACATAATGGCTTACTGCCACCCAATAACTCTAGTTCCAGAGGATCCAACACCCTCTTCTTGTCTCTGAAGGCACAAGACACTCATATGGTGCACAGACATACTTCCAAGCAAAACATCCATACACATAAACTTTTTAATCTTAAAAAATGAATATGACAGATGTAGCATAATATTTTAAAACATGGTCTTGAAATTCTCATTTGAAACAATTTTTTTTAAATCAGACACACATTCACACAAAAATACTATGGAAAATTATATCTATCTATTAAGGCAAGAATCATACCTTGAGTTGTTGAAACCACTTGCTAACATGTTCAGGACTTCCAAGATTGTTGATGGCACCACCAAATAACAAGGAAATGATTCCACACTAGAAACAAGGACAATATAAACAATAACTAACCACAATCAACAGCTTAGCAACAACTAGACACACTGGTCAAAATCTACTCGGGGGTATCTCTAGGGATCCTTCATTCTACACAGGTCTTTATCTGCCCTTTTATAAGTCAGGGGAAGGGGAGGGGAAGAGGAAGCAGGGGTTTAAGAAAGAGGAAGAGAAGTGTTCTAGTTTGATCTATGCTGCTATGATACACATAAGGATCAAAAGCAACTTGGGGGAGTCAAGGGTTTCTTTCAGCTTCCCGGTTACAGCTTTCATCAAGGAAAGCCAAGGCAGGAACCTGAAGGCAGGAACTGAAGCAGAGACCACTGAGGAATGTTGCTGACTAGCTTGATCCCCATGGTTTTCTCATCTAGCTCTTATACACCCCCACCTGCCTAGAGTGGCACTACCCACAAGGCATGCCACATAGGCCAATATGATAGAGAGGGTTGTCAGTTGAGGTTCCCTCTTCTCAGATGACTAGTTAATGTCAAGTTGGCAAAAACTCGCCAACACAAAGAAGAAAAAGAGATGTCTAGAACAAAACCACATGGAAGGATCAAGACAATTGACAGGGGGGGAAAAAAGGATGGAGGTATGTAGACATTTTCTGGTGCTGAGCTCTCCCTCTCCTAGCCACACACTCTGAATCCCCCGCCGCCCCCCACCCCCCCGACCATCCTTCCCTAGAATGAGTCTGAATGTCTTATAAATGGCTTTAGGAGGACATGACTTCAGGATTTCATGGGATCCAAAGGATCTCAATGGGACCATCCCAAGTGGTCACCAAGACACAATGGAATCCAGAGAGATGGAGACTTGGGTCAGCTGACTACCATCTCACCACGAGCTAGCGAATAAAGCCAACGTACCCTGATGGGGTTGAAGAAAGATAACAGCTGAGAGGTTTGGGAACTCAGGTTTCACTCACCTATGGAATTCTTTAATTATAGAAATTAAGCCTATCTTGCTCAATCAAGGGGGGGGGGTGGTCACTGGTAACTGAATGAGTCACCTGTATTCACACATCTGGAAAATGGAATCAATACAAAATGGTTTACTTTTTTCTCTGTCTAGTTTAAAAGACAACTAATTTTCTTTTCTTTTTTTCTTTTCTTTTTTTTCTCAACTAAATTTATTTTATTCAAACTAAAACAAGTTGAATTTTCTTGTCTTAAATCTCTTTGGCTGATGTCGAATGTCAATGCTGTCGTATATTTCTTTTCTAGGCTTTCTTTTCCTCTTCCTTGGGAATGGGAAAAACTGGATTTTATTTATTTATTTATTTATTTATTTATTTATTTATTTATTTTTGTACATGCTTAGGAAGTTTCCATTCACTGGCTACATTCGTAAGCAGTTAGGCCAGGGTGGCCTGTACCTTTGAAGGAAAGTAGCCAGCTCATAGATAGCATCCGTGTCACTTCCACTCACACAACCAAGAACGGTGTGGGGACTTCCCCTCACAAAACCACAGTCTCCAAACGGCAGAAGGCAACCAAGTGCAGGGAGAGGGTTTGGGGGTGGGTTCCTGAGCAGGTGACCTCTAGCCTGACATGTTTACAGCAGTGCCTCCTAGGAAGCGAACATTTTTCTAGCCAGAAAAATGAGTCAGGCAGGCAGGTAGCGGTGATGGCAGGATACACTGGTCAGTGAGGAAAGAAGTGGAGAGATTCAGTATGTATTCTGGAGACAAGCTGATGAGTGGATTTGGAAAGAGAAGAAGGCACTCTGGGAGATACCTAGCCTTTAGCTGAATGACCATGTGTATGAAATCCCATTAACTGTGATGCTTACAAAACATGTCACAAACCAGGGAGGGGGTGCTTAAAGGAAAATACTGCGACAGAGATAATGCAACTGACAAGAGATGGACATCTATCCAAACTGTTGTCCCAGAAGACGCTGTGTTCACTGCTGTCAAAACCATCCATTACCTTGTCCCTGTAAACTTCAGGGGATAGAGCACTAGAAACCCCTTTCTCATGTGCGGACAAACTGAGGGAAGCAATAAAGACCCCTTGTGAAAACCCTAACTGCCCACATGTACTCAACATTTACTGTTTTGGAGTGTGTGTCTCTCTCCTTTCTCCATAATTTAGAGAAGAAAAAGGATGGTTACACCATCAGGAGTATGAAGCAATAACCACAGCATGCCAGAAAGGGCTGGTAGCGCACCACAGTCTACCACTGGAGACGCCTGAAGGCTGGCATCTGAAGTCAGGACAGTATGAAAAGACAAATGGTGATCCTTGGCAGAGCCTCACCTCACACTTGGGGATGAGAAGGTGATTCTGGTCATCAGAGCAGAGTGCTGGTTGACCTCACCCTAATCCACCAATGAAGCCACCACGTGGTAGATAATTAAGGCAGGGGCATGGGTAAGTTGGTAAAAGAGCCTAGTTAGCAAAGTGCTTGCTTTGTAACCTCAGGGACCCGAGTTTGATCCCCAGAATCTCCATGGCATGCTTTTGTAGTCTCGGTGCTGGGAAAGCAAACAGGAGGATCTCCAGGGCTCACTGGCCAGTTGACCTAACCTACTTAGTGAGTTCCAGGCCAGTAAAAGCTCCATCTCAAAAAATTATTTTTTGAAAATAAAGTATCCAGGAGCTAGCAAAATGGTTCCAGGGGTATTGTTGCCAAGCCTGATAACCTGAGTTCAGACTTCAGAATCTAGATGGTAGAAGGAAAGAACTGATCCCAGAAAATTGTCCTCTGAACTCCACAGGCATACCATGATGCATTCTTATTCTCTCTGCCCTCTGTCTCTGTGCCTCTGTCTGTTTGTCTCTCTCTTCTTCTCTATCTCCCTCTCCCTTTCTCTTTCTCTTCCCCAACCCCTCTTCTCTCTCTTTCAATACATAAACAATCTAATTATAAAAAATATATAGCTAAGGAATGACACCACAGTTGTCCTGTGGCTGCCATATGTAAACAAGAGCACACACACATACACACACCTTAGTCACATTTCAGAAGGTTGTAACAAGAGGATCAGTGCCTGGGGAGGTATTATCCCTGCCCACTTCCTGTCTTGCTCTTTGCCTCCTGGTCTGCTGTGATGTTGATTATCTGCTATACAATCTTGCCACTAAGGCACCACCTGTTTCAACATGCCTTCTCACTCATAACGAGCTGAAACCATGAACCAAAACAAATCATTCTTCCTTGTGTTGGTTTCAGAGGTATTTGGGTCATGGTAATGCAAAAGTAACAAATATTATTCAAGTTCCATGTAGGATGAGGAAGCAGTAGTGCTCCCCATGATGTCACACACATATGTAAAAAATAAATAACTAAATACAAGTTCAAAACCAAATATTGTGACAATATAGATTGATCTTAGCAGTGATAGCTAAGTGAAGAAAGCAAGTCACAGACACTTATGGTACTGTTTTTATGAAACAAAGACAAAGGAAGCCAGGGTAGTAGTGGTGAACGCCTTTAATCCTAGCACTCAGAAAACAGAGGCAGACTGATCTCTGTGAGTTTTAAGCCAACCTGGTCTACAGAGTGAGTTCCAGGACAGCCAGGGCTATACAGGGAAGTTGTGTCTCTGGAAAGAAAGAAAGAAAGAAAGAAAGAGAGAGAGAGAGAGAGAGAGAAAGGAAAGAAGGAAGAAATGAGGGAGGGAGGGAGGGAGGGAGGGAGAGAGGGAGGAAAGAAGGGAGGGAGGAAGAGAGAGAAAGAGAAAGAAAGGAAGGAAAAAAGGAAGGAAGGAAGGAAGGGGAAGAGGAAGACAGGAAGGAAGGGAGGGAAAGAAATTAAGACAAATGAGACTAATCCATTAATACATGATATATGTATTTATGAAAACCAAGCAAAAAATGTCATCTATGCACTAGTGATCCCAGCACTTGGGAGACAGAGGCAGGAGTTCAAGGCTAGCCTAGGCCATAGGAGGCTATCTCAAAAGCAAACAAACAACAAAAAGCAAAGACAAGAGGATGGACGATGCTAGTGAAAAAGCAGGAAGATGAGTCGTGATGTGGGTGCTCTACAGACACCCACTCGATAACTACACTGAGAGCTCATCACTTCACTGCCCCTCAGCTCCTAAAGGGTGAGCTGCCAGTGCTCGCACCTTCACACATGTGGCCACATCCGCCATGCAGAGCACCTCTCCCAGGACAAGGCTTCGGCTGATGAAATTCTTCCTTTTTTCTTCCTGAAAATATAATAGACCAATGTCAAGATTTACTCCTGATCTTCTGACCTTGAAATATGCATTTTAAATAACATGTGATTTATGTAATATGTTCACAATAGAATAACACAAAGCAGTTTTAAGTCAAGTCAGGAAATAGTTTCAACGCTCTTCTGAAAGCAAATGTTTTCATCTTGGGTCAGTGTGGCCTTTGGTCTCTGGCCATTTGGGTGTGGTATTCAAGGACTTTTTTCCTTTTGTTTTTTGTTTTTGTTTGTTTAAGAAAAAATTATTTATTGATACAGTGCATGTGTAGAGGTCACAGGCCAACTTGTAAGAGTCAATTCTCTCCCACTGTAAATGGGTCCTAAGGATCTAAATCAGATTATCATGGACAACAAGTGCCTTTACCTGCTATTTCACCACCTAGAAGCCCCACAGTCTCTTTTCTGACACAACAGGTAGTCAACTGCTCCTGACTGGAAGTCAGCCTGGGAACAGATGCTTTGTCCCATCCTCCACAGGCTTTACTTAACCTTAACCAAGCTTATCCCTGGCCTCCCAGTATATTTCCCCTGCAATATAGGCAGCCAAGACATCCTGCCTAGCTTCTCTACATGTGCATATAGCAACACAGATGTGAAGAAAATCCCTTAGATAAAGGAAAAGCCATAATCTTCCCTTTCTAAGCATAGGCCATCCTGATGGGAGATGTCATTCTGTAAATATGTTTCTCTTATTGGTTAATGAATAAAATACTGATGGCAAATAGGAAAGCAAGATAGGTGGGGTTAGGAGACAAGGAGGATTCTGAGAGATGTAGTAGGAGATTCACGATGTAGGGACTTGAAGGTCTGGACCCTCTCTCTGGTAAGATAAGGCCACGTGGAAATACTTAGATTAATAGAAATGGGTTAATATTTAAGACAGAGCTAGCCAATAAGAAACACTAGTAACAGGCCAACAGCTTTCTATCTAATACAGTCTCTGTGTGTTATTTGGGGCTGGCACGGCTCTCAGACTAGGCCAATGGGGAAAATGTTTGTAACACCACCCCTGGGCTTGATTTATGATTTTAAAACCATGACATCCTGGTCTCTCATCCTTGATGATTCTCTCCCTGTCATAACATCAGCAACTTCCAAAGCGCAGTGAGCTCACAGTTCTTCACTGTTTAATTACAAAGTACTAGAGCAGGGCTTAAGAGAGGGTTCAGTGGGTCAAAGTGTGTGCTGCACGAACATGGGGGCCCGAGTGTGGAGTCTAGCACCCCTGTAAAAAGCCAGGTGCAGTGACAAGTGGGTGTCTGTAATTCTAGCACCAGAGATTCTAACAAAGACAGAAGGATTCCAGGGGCTCTTAACCAGCCAGTCTAACAAAATCACTGAGCTCCACATTCAGTGAGAGAACCTGTCTCAAAAAATACAGTGGGAAGTGACAGAGAAAGGCACCAACATTGACCTACACACAGACACACAAGACACACAGACACAGATATAGGCATTTGTGCATGTGCTTGCACACACACACACACACACACACACACACACACACACACACACACACACTTTCTGATTCAGAAAGAGCCAGAAGCAGCATTTTCTGAAAGGTGGTAGACCCTGAGTGGACAATTTGCAATTACTCATTATTGGAATTCATGCTTGTTGTCTTCTCATGGGTAAGTTTCTTCTGACCCCCACCAACAAAACGGGTATGGGTTGCTCATGTGAGTATGAATGTACACACATGTATTTTTGTAGCCAGGTGTGGACACATCTATCTTGTATATATTGTGTGTATGAACCTCTATGTTAGAGTGTGTTCATGATCCTATATACACATATATAGACATGTACACTCGTGCATGTCTTAGTGTGTGTTTCTTTACACAGTCACATGTAATGCTTGTGTGTGTGCATTGCCCCATCAGCAGCAGAATACCAACCTTCTTTGGATGACTGTTCCCACTGTGGCTTCAACTCTTTCCCTAGACATCCTCCATATTTTTCTCTCCCACAGGTTTTCATAATGTTTCTCTCAAGCATTATTAATTCCATCAAACACCATCCTGTCAAGATTTATGCTTCTCAACATGGCTGCAACCCAACACATCTTGTATTGATTATTTCCTAAAATACCTCCAGGCTCTCACAGAAATTATTGCATGGCTCTAGCCTGGGATTGCACCAAAGAGTCAGTTACAAGCAGATAATGAAAAACAACTGTAGCAGAGACTTTTTTGAAGGGCCCAGTGTCCTCTGTTTTACTGATCCTTAGAACAACCCAGATGCCACATGAAAGATGGAAAAGCTTATGCTCAGGGAAATCAAGTGAGTTACCCAACCAGAATTACCTGGTGAGTGTCAAAACAAGGGTCAGAAACAAGAACTTCAGAGCTCTTATGAGGATGTCTTGCTATACTCACTGCCTTCATTATTGAGGACTCTGGTAGCCCAATCTTCATCACTGATCCATTTTATTTTGTACCACCAGTGTTCAGCATCATCCTGCCAAGGTGTCCCCATGCCATCATTCTGAGTCCTGCTATCTATAGTCACCTGAACAAACATCCCTTTGCCTTCAATCACTAGCTTTGCTTTTTCTAAGCCCAAACCATCAAAACCATGCAACTCTCCTGGGCATAGTGGCACAAGCCTGAACTCCCAGCACATGGGAGGCAGAGGAAAGATCCAGGTTGGCCTGGTCTGCATAGAAGGTCCACATCAGTCAGAATATATATATATATATATATATATATATATATATATATATATATATATATATATTGTCTCTAAATAACTATTAAACAGGCAGGCAGGTAGATGGGAGGATGGATAGATAGATAGATAGATAGATAGATAGATAGATAGATAGAAATATCAAGTGTAGATAGTTTTCTTCATTCTGAAAATTCACACTATTGATAAAGGAATATAATTTTGTTAATAGTAACATCCAATTGCAGCCATTTTTACTCACAAGTTTGAAACTAACTGCAAGCACATGTGTTGAATTCATCCATCTTGGAGCATTTGAAATTGTTTATTATGATGACTTCCCTTCCCTTGTCTCCACAGGAGACAGCCATGTTTATTATTAGACCTGATGGGAAACGTCAGTAGGAGTTTGCCATTCCCTGGTGTTAACTCAAGTATGCACTTCAGCTGGTTCATTTTCGAGAAGTCAGATCAAGTACTGAAACCTGGACTGGGTTTGATTTAATTGACTGTATTGCTGGCATATAGTTCGAACATCATCTACACACATGAATTCTTTTTTTGTCTTTGATTAGCTAGTTGTGTAATTAATATTTATTATTAGTAAATTTATCATATCATTAATGGGCAACACTAGCAACTATATTGATTGGGATCAATCATTAGTCAATGCATTTTTGCATCTTTTTTAATATCTCTGCTATGTCAACAGCTACATTCATGTACATTGGATATATTCAAACCAAACCTAATGATTATATAATCATGTAAATTTAGCTGTACAGATAAAAATTCAGACTTTTATTATATCTGAAATTACAGCCCATCTATCAAAAACATCTGAGTAGCAAGTTAAGCTTCAAACAGAAGGAAGACAGTCTGTCCTAAATTACTCTCTTTCAAGGTATTTATGTAGCAGATCTCTATGCTGTGATATTCTGCTACAAATTCTGGGGAGAAAAAAAAAGTCTTATTAATCTAGAGATGTCTGATACACACACATATTAATCCAGAGATTAATATGTCTGAAACACACACATATTACCTCAATGAAAATCAACAAAGTTCAGAACTATTGGAAGTGTGGAAAGCATTGCTTTCCCTCCGATGTCAGCGTGTCCACAAGGACCTCTCTGCACCCACAGGCAGGCAGCCTGCAGTACGTTTCCACCAGTTGTAAATTAGTGCAGTGTTCTTTTAGGACTGTTTCCTCATGAAGGTGCAGCCTTCTGTCAGCCTTGCTTTTCCACCTGAGGCCTGATGGAGGACAGTGGAGCAGCCTATATATACACAAGACTGCTGGTTTCCAACAGCTCGAGACCGTTGTTATTTTTTAGCATTTTGGGCATGTCACATCCATGAAGTACAAATCAGGGCCCGCAACAGGCACCTTTTCTTGTGTTTCTTCTTTTCTAGAGAGGGATGACGGAGATCATTTGTGAGAGGCTTGTCCTCATAGAAGGTCATCACCAGTTTTCCATTTTTAATGAAGACCAATTTACACTTTTTGTTTATGCATGGTCAGGGGGTCCTAGGGAGAGCGCTCCCCTCCCCTCGCTCTCGTTAAGGAACTTTTGCTTACCCTAAAGTCAGAAGGATATTCTTTGCTCTTTTTGTGAGCTGATTTTAAAATCTGTGTTCTAAAAAGCTGTATAATTATTTTTGCATGTAGTCTGAAGTAGGGATCTAGGTTTACATTTTTTTAAATTTGCTTCAGCATCATTTATTACAAAGATGTTCCTTTTCTTGTTGAGTTCCTCAGCAACACTATGAAGAATAAATCAACTGATCAAATGTGTATTTCAGTCAGGGCTCTCTATTCTGTTCCCTTGATATGTCTGTCTTTTTGTCAGAGTCACATCATCTTAGAAGCTTTCGGATGAGTCTTGAACTCATGAATGAGAGCCCACCAGCTTGGCTCTGTTACAGAATTATGTTAACCATTCTAGGTACTTTGCATATCCATATGTGTTCGGAATCAACCAGTAAACTGTGATGATGGCACCAGAGCACCTCCAGATTCAGTCCCATGCTGTGCCTTCCCAATGATGGAAGCCTCCGGTGATTCCGTCATCATCTCAAGAAAATCTAATCATTCCAGTGCAGCCTTTGTGTCTGGCTCGCATGTCCTGTGATGGTTACTGGGATCACAGAGTAGTGTCTGAACAGAATGCTGGAAACATTTGGTAACAAAGACTAGCCCTGTACTTCATGTACTTTTCCTCCCAGGAACTTTCGACTACTCCAGAAAACCCAGTACAGGACTGATAAAAGTGACAATCCCATGGCCTTATCTATGGGTAG